ACCTCTAAGTAAGGATTTAATTAAGTACCAAATGTTAAATTTGTCCAAAAATTTAACATTTAACATTTGTTTAAATATTTAACATTTTAGTTTTGGTGGTTGTTTTTTTTTTTTTTTTTTTTCGCCTTTCCAATAAAACTTATTAGTTCTTCTCCTAGTTCACCATAACTTTATCTAGGGCACTTAGCTGGTCAGAATCTCAGTTTATTAAAATCAGACAAGTGGTCTAGAAAAATCAGGTTTTCTTAACTTCCACCTTCTACCCTTCCTAAATTGTGCCAGAATTTTGTACAATACAGTACTGAATGTTTTCCCCTTTGACCACCAGAGGGCACTTTGGAGCCTGCCATCTATTGCAGTGGTAGTCACAAGTAACAGATACCACTCTTTTTTTTTAGTATTTATACTGTATTTTATTTCACTGTATTTTTTCAGCATTTCATTTTAATTTGTCCATTTATCTTTGCCATAGAATGTTCACATAAATTCAGCACATGAATTGACATTAAAATCATAATTTATTTTAATAAACTTCTGTATCCTTTGTATAATAGCATCAAGTCTGTTTATCATTTTTATGATAGGCTTGCTCATTGATTTAGTTATTTTAACATCTTTAATATTTATTTCAGGATAGCATTCACTTTGTTGCTGATAGTATAATAAGAAAATCATTGAAACGAAGGATGCTGTCTGAGACCAATATACAGAAATAACAGGCAGTTTTTCCCTCGATTAATGAAAATTTCCTATAGTTAATTCATCAGAAGTTTGTTGCCCTCAGGCTTATTATGCTCTCTGCACTTGCTATAGTGTAGACTTTTGTAGCAGAGGTGTCTGAGGCAGAAGGTACACCACCCTTCTTCCCATTGTGTTCCCACTCATGTTGTGTCTGATAGGACAAATCAGAAATTCATCCCTTGCTGTTTTTGTTTTCTACTACAGCATTAATAACCAGGCCTAGGGACTCACCTTTTAAAGAACTGAATATGAAAGAAATTCTTCAGAAAGTGAACGCTGAAGTCTATCTTCTATTAGTGTGAAAGGATCGAGGTCGTTTAGTGTTCAAATATTGTAAAAATAGTAAAATAAAACAAGTATAACCTTTTTTCTATAATTAAGCACTAAATAAAACTACTGTGCTAAAACTTTCCTGTTTTACTAATAGGAACAACATGCCAGAATTCCATAAATTAAAAACAAAGTTGGTAAAGAAGAAAGGATCACGGGCATATGCGTGCCAGTGTAGCTGGAGAACTGTTGAAGAACTGACCAACCTGCAGACAGATCATCAGCTTCGCTGGGTTTGTGGTAAACATTGAGACTGCAGCCTTTGACATTCTGACAAATGCCTCTATTAGGGCAGCCTCCAGCCATCATCATGTTTACGTAAAGGCACATATCGTATTATGCCATTTGGAAAAAGACAGTGAATTTCATTTAACTATGTAAATTTTTGAAGATCGAATGGACTAGGGAAGAGACTGTAACACTTTAAGAATTAACCCTTTTTGATGATAGATGTTTCACTAAGTAAGATAACAGATATCCAGATTCTTTGCTCACCTATCTCCTGTTTAATGATAGCATTTCATACTAACATGTAGCCTTTCATTAGCAACCACTGCATTGACAGCTCAGACACTTGGTGTAAACATTCCTTACTTAGAGCATTTAAGGGGATAGAGTTTACCAGGGCACAGAGTCACTGTAGCATTGGTTATGGCACTTCCTCCAGTCACTTCTGTTGTTGTCAAAAGATTATAACTTAGACATCTCAAAAACTAGATGATAAGCAGCTAACAGAAGGGCAGTCAACACTGCCTTATACCTCAGCAGCTCAAAGCAGCATATGCACAATAATGACAAGTATGTGTCACCAGTTTTAACTTATTTCTCCTCCTTTTCTTCATTTAGAATTTAAAAGTTACTTAGCAAATATCCATTTATATATATAAAGAATTTTTTTTCAATGTACATAAAATCACAAAAATCCTGATATAGGTAGATCATTATTGGATTTTCAAGTACTCTAGCCTTTAATGCCTATGATTCTGTCAATTGAGCAAGTAAGATGATTTTTTCAGGCGAGTACATGAAAAGGGAAATAAAGCAGGTATCATGTTGGGCTCCCCTTTGATATCACTGAGCAACATGTTTAGAAAATCATTTACCTCAAAGTTTCCAGTTCCCAGCACCCTTGAGAGATTCCAAGGGCCCTGCAATCTGCCAAAAACTCTATACCACAAGTGTATACAACTTGGTTCAAATGTGTAACACAGAACACACTGAAAGGGAGTAATTTTTAGCAAAGTTAAGATTTCTTTGTCTTATGCTGACTCCATTCCAGCCACTCCTCAAAAGCAAGGAATATCTATCTATTCATTAAAAGCCTTTTGCTAGCCATGACACATTTGTGTATTTATAAAACTTATATAAGTCTAGCATTGAAATAAAACAAATCTCCTCGTGACCAATGCTCATATTTTTGTATCAAGGACATATCAAGGACATGTTTATAGATTTTATCTTTCAATAAAATTTTTTACTCCCCAAAACTATTTGTCTTTGTAATTGTGTCAGAAATATAATAGGATTTAGATTGAATTCATCTATTCCAAAAAATTGCAAAACAACAAGATTCATATTCAAAATCTCATGGGATTTGTCATATTAATCATAAGGGTGATGACTTCTATTGATTCCAATAAGCAAATTTACTAAATCATCAATTTAAAAAATATTTTAACTTATTTTCATTTAGATGGATGAAAATGTCCCTTTCACTTTTTCTTTTTCATTGTAACTATCCTGAAACTTGGACACATTACCTGTGTTTGGCATCCCATAACATAATAATCATAATATAATTCTGTAATGTCAGAAATTTCTCTATGAGTTTCCATTTTTATTGGGAGTTTATAAGCCTTTTAGTATTATACTATTTTAATCTAAAATGTAGAAAGAATATTACATTTATATATAATTACCTATTGACATTTAAGCTAAAATGCATCTACTTTAGTGTCAATATATAAGAAAAGCGTAGTTTCTAGATAACTATAATCTTAAAACGTAAACTCTATAAAAGTTTTAAGATATTCCTATTTTCCCACCTTTAGCAAGTATCTGTTGTAAAGCCAGGTAACTACTTTCTTTGAACTGTAGTATAGTCTCAGACCTCCTGCTGCCTAAAAATGAGTAAATAAATAGCTTTATTCTGTATTTGTTACTTTCTATTTTTTAATATTCACATGGGTATTATTTGAAATAACTTTGGTATTTTTTAATGTCAACAAGAAAGTTTCCAGCTATCCAGTTGAACAATTTATTTACATTAGGTAGGCAGTTGCTGCAATTTTTTTTATTAAAACAAATAACCAATATTGAGATATAATAGATACACTATAAAAAAATGTTTTACAATTTGTTGGTTTTAGTATATTCACTAAAATAATTGCAGCCATAATCATTATTTAATTTTTGAACCTATTTTGGGACTCTTTTTTACTGTTTTTGTCCAGAAGCTCTAGAACAATGCCAAGTCTCTTATTTTTTTTTTAATTTATTTATTTGTTCTAATTGCTTATACCTGACAGCAGAATGCTCTTTGATTAATTGTACACAAATGGACCAGTTTTTTACTTCTCTGGTTGTACTCAAAGTAGGGTCACATCGTTTGTGCAATCATACATGTATTAAGGGTAATGATGTCTATCTCATTCCACCATCTTTCTTTCCCCCCTACCCCATGCCCCTTCCTTTGCGCCCTTTGCCCCATCCAAAGTTCCTCCACTCATCCCATGCCCCACCCTGCAATTATTTTTAACAAGGATAAGGAATAAACACGTGAATTTTCAGACTGTTGATCCATTCATTACATTGGCATTTCCTAGTATATTTGAATCTATCCATACTCAACAATACAACAGTTTTTTTTCCAATGTGTACAAAATTTATGAAGTGATAAAAACCTGGTGGAAAAAACTGAGAATGATGCCAACAACATCAAAAAATAAACCTAGAACAACTCAAGTCCCATGAACAGTGGAATGGGTGAGAAAACTGGGTGACATACACTCTCACAGCAGCAAATGTGCATGCTGCAAATTTAAGAAAGAGTGAGTGTGTACTTGTACATGTGTGTACATGGGTTCATAAAAAAGTATGGTTAGTCAAAGGTACAGGTCCTAAGTTCAAGAACAGAGTAGGTTGATGTGATACATATCCAGATGTCAAGAAACTTAGAATCCTTCTTTTCTTGGCCCAAAGGTAGTAGCAACCTGTGAATCAGTATCACTTTCCCTACTTTTCTTACTGACCTAATATTTTTCAATATGAAAAAAAGAAAAGTCTTTGTTTCCAAAGTACTATGATGAAGTTCTGCAATAAATATTGATTTTTGTTTCTCAGCTATTAAGGTTTTGTTTTTTTTGTTTAGTACTGGGGATTGAAACCAGGGCCTTGCACATAGTAGGCAAGAAGTCTAACACAAGCTAAATCCCCAGCCACCCTTTTTTTTTTTTTTTTTTTTTGTAAGAAAGGATCTTCTCACTCAGTAGCCCAGGCATCAACATTCTACCCTCCTGCCTCAGCCTCATAAGTAGTTGGGATTACAGGCTTGCACTATCATGCCCATCAGGTTTTAGGTTTTAACAAAATCTTTTATCAGATGACATTCTATTCCCAGTAATAAGCTCTGTGTGTTTAAAATAGTTCTGAAGCAATGAAAAAGTTCAAAATACACAATATCTTTAAAGGGTTTACTTCATATTATTTTGGGTTTATGAAACAATTTTGTGCTTTATTTTAATAATTAAATTTGTCTTTCTTCAAATGTCTTAAAATAATGGATGACAATATGAAGTTAAGCTCATTGGCAGAAATGCAAAACAAATACCGCTCTTCCTACTATATTTGTGTTGGAAAATATAATTATTTTTCTAAAAATTTGATGTTTATATATATTTATAATGTAATAAATATTACAGAATCACACACACACAAACAAAAAAAAAACCTCTTTGGGATTCAAAATAATTCTTAAGAGCCTAAAAAGATATTGAAACTAAGAAGGTTGAGAATTATCATACACAATCCTGATTGTCCTCCTACTCACACCACACCCCTGCTTAAAAAGGTGTGATTTCTCCCCCTTCCTTCTGCCTTCACACTTTCTATTTCTCATATAATATCTTTTCTTGTGGTTATTTGTGTGCTTCTGTATTGTCTTAGACATTAGACCTCAAACTCTTTAAAGACTCTCTGTGCCGTGGGGAAACTGAGACAATCATGCCACTAGCTTCCTGGGGCACTGTAAGCCACTGTGTCTTTGGGTTCATCTGCAAAACAAGAATTGGATTTAATGACATACAAATTGTTATATCATGTAGTCATTTGGTAATATTTTTTCTGATTATATAGATCTTTCAAATACTGTCACATTTCATTATAAAAAGTATAAAAAAATCACTTGTTACTATCACCACTAGTCTCATTAGGAAAGAATTTACTTATTGGGGAAGCTGTCATGCTCACTGTGGTAGATAGAAGTTTTCCAAAATTCTTATTTTGGCTTCTGTCATTTATTTATTGGAAAGTGAATCACTTTATTAAAATGATATGAATACTGTTCCTCTAAAAAAAAACACTTTGATGGGGTGAGGATATAGTTCAACGGTAGAGCACTTGCCTAGCATGTGCAAGGCCCTGGGTTCTATCCCCAGCACCTTCAAAGAAAAATTTAAATTTTAAAAATACCTCCATGAGCCCAGCATTGTGTGAGCCACATCTTGGAAGATGTGGTATGTGTAGTGGGGAAGAGACTAGAATCAGAGATTAGAGAGACAGGGGTTTCTAAATGACACCAGTTGTGTGCTCTCAGTGCTTTCAGTGAGGGGAGAAAAGCAGGGAAGCACTTGCTCTTGAGATGAGCAGGGAGTTCTCGCAGTCACAAGTCAGTGCCTCCTTACAGGGGACAGGCATGTAAGTCAGGTAGAGAGAAGTCATTTCTTCCTCCTTGTAGATGATTCTTAAGTTGTCCTCATGAAGGCTAGAGAGTTAATAAGGAACCAGGAGCATTTTTTAAAAAGTAAAAGAGCCAGTGGTGTATGCCTGAATCCCAGTAATTCTGGAGGCTGAGGCACATTTAAGGCCAGCCTGAGCAACTTAATGAGACCCAGTCTCAAAAAAATAAAAAGGAAAGGGGATGTGGTAGCTCAGTGGTAGAGAGCCCCTGGGTTCAATCCCTAGCTAGTACAAAACTAAAATTAAAATAATAATAATAATAAACAGCATCATACTGCTTTGTGTGTTTCAGGAAATAGATTTGTCTTGATTTTCACATTGAATGTGAACAAATAAAATGGTAAGAGCCAAACCTACACTAGTGAGATAAGTAGGATTGAATTAAGAACGAAACCTGTCCCATTTAGTCCCACAGATACAAACTGGACTAATTAGAAGAAGCAGTTGAGAGAACAAGATAACACACACATTTTTCACGTGACACATATTCCATGTGTGGCACTCTTATTTAGGAAGACTGTTGAACTCAGGAATGTCATCCCACTCCGAGAATGAAAGGGAGTTATTCCTAAGAAGCTCTGTTCAGTCAAGGCAGGGTCAGGGCATGAGGAGTTCACTTACCATGAGATGGACCTTCCAGAAGGCGTAGTAAGCAGAGTTGTTCAGAAGGCGGCAGTTGGGGAAGGTGGGAGAAGCAGGAGATGGGAAGAACAGAGCAGTATTGAGAGGAAAGCCTGGATGGAACTTATATTTCAACCAAAAAGATGACAGGGATCAAAGCCATGGGGGGATTGACCTGCTCAAAGATTTAACTAAAACTGGTCTCTACTAGAAAGAAGAGGGTTTTGTGGGTATGACATAGGCTCAGACTCAGTCTACTAGAATATAGTTTGTTGAGGCCGGTGGGAGGGGTAGGGGTGGAGGTTGCTTTTTGTGTTGTTTTTCCTGGTAGATTGGTTTTATTTTGCATCTAGGCCAATAGACTACATCCTTTGCTCTCAATTGTGAATAGAATTGATTTCAATAGGATCTAAATTGTTAAGAGACTGTATATAGTTCATCTCTGGCTACAGAAGTACACAGCATCCAAGAGAAAAAAAAAATGGCCTGAATATAGTCACTGTCTAAGACAGGCAATGAGTACATGATCGTGGGGCCTAAGGACTCTTTCTTATGAAGGATTTATTCATCAGAACAAATTAGTATCGAAGGACTGAGAGGATTGCAAGTCCAGACAAAGAGGGATGGAAATACTGAGGGCCCAAATATCAGTTTTACTGGAAATCAAAATCAGAGGAGAGGCAAGAAAGAGGGACCCGTGCAATAGTTTGGTATTATTCTTACTTACACATAAAGAAACGAAGGCACAAGGAACTCGACCAAAGTCATGCAAGTTGTAAATAGCAGAACAGCATTCAAACCTAGATCCATCCAGTTCCGCATCTGTGTATAAAAGGAAGAAGTTGCTCTCTGTGAGATGAGCTGGAGCAGAACCTCAGTCGAGGACCATGTGGCTTTTTCCCAGGTATGGCCCTGCACAGTCCTGGTGGGCTTATAATAGGTGCATACCCTGGACCTCAAGAATACACAATCCAAGTTTGCTATAAAAATATTCTCAGATATTCTGTGTGGTTTTGTTTAGAGGAACCAAGATACAGTGCTCACGAACTCAGCTTCAAATGGGCTCCCAGTGCTCGGGAACAGGAGGAGAAGCAGCCCAAGTGCTGTGCAGCAGAGTTCTGAACCACTGGTCAAGTCTGCCATGGGCTCAGGAATGGGGAATGAGAGCTTGCCCTGAATGTGACAACTGTGGAATAGGCTTGCAGTCTATGTTCTTGTCCAACTCAGTTCTCAGCCCTATCTTAGATGGGATCAGCAGAAGAGCCTTTACAAGTACCAGTATCCAGACTCCATTCTCAGAAAAGTCTGATCAACTTGTCTGCAGTGAGGCCTGACATCAATACCATTTAAAACTCTCTCATTCTAGTGTGCACCCGAGGGAGAAACCCACTAACAGCAATAGGACCTTGGGTGTGTCACTTTCCTCTTTGGGCTGTAGTATCCTCACCTATAAACAAAACATATATTTTTTCCTCTTATAACCAGCATCAAACCATGAGCTAATACTAGGTGATTTGATTTTATTTTTTTTCAATACAAATTCACCTGCAGTCTTTATTTACCAGCATAAATATATGCACAGGGCAGAGCCTCAATCAAGGTATACAGACCATCTTGGATTGTGTTGTTTTCACTTAATGGTGATTTTAATATCCTAAGATTAAGCTTTCATGAATCTCTTGTCATTATATAATCTATCTAATTAATGATTCCATTTAGGGTTCAATGTGTATTTTCTTCAGCATTTTCCTAGAAAGAATAGTGTTAATGTGAAGTTTTGAATCCCATAATAAATAGAGATGGAGAAGAATGGACCAGTATTCACCTTACATGGAAAAGAATAGAACCTCCAAACGTGGACAATGTAAACCTCTCTCCAATAGAAGCATCATTTCAGAGCGAGTGGCCCTGAGACAGCGAGTAGTTGATACCATCTTCCATGGAAAACAGTAGCTTTTAATAACAATATTATGTAGAAAGATGAACTCTGCAAAGTAAATGGGAAACGATTTTAAGTCAATAGAGAACATTTACATAACTTAGAAGCCAATGTAAATTCTTATATTCAAGATTTTCTTTTTAATTTAACATCCACAAGGTGTGTTGGGAAAATTGAAAAATTGGTTTGCAAAGAATGTAATGCTTTATTTTTTACATTTTTCTTGAAGACTGGGGGATTAAACAAGATTTTTCCCAGTGTGTTGAGGCACAGCCTATCATAAATGCCTTCAGCCTTAGCTGGAAGCATTAGAAATGATTCAGTCAGCCCTGGAAAGACCCAGAAAATGTCTTTCAAGCCTCTTCCCTCTGGCCTTGGTTTCCCTGTGCAGCTGTGTGCTGAAAACCACTTGGACCTGTTTCCACGAGATTTTATGGAGGAGTTTTAGGTATTTAATTTAGGTATTAGCACAATTTTTTTCTGAAATATCCCAGATCCAGTGATAACCCAAGGGGATGAGTAGGAACGGATTTACCTGACACATAAACACCCCTGTAAAGGCACAGATGATGTGAATCCTCATGAGGCACAGTGTTGTGTCCACAAAAGAGCCCCATGCTACTTCTTGCCTTTGCCCCATGAGTCAGTTGTCTCTCACCCTCCAGAAGCTACTACATTAAATGAGGTGAGAAGCACCAGCTTGGATTTGAATCCTGGCTCTTCAATTTACTGGGCAGGTGATATTCTACAGGTCATTTATCCTCCTAAGCCTCTCCCACCTGCCTGAGCAACAGAATGCTCACTTCACAGCAAGAAACTCTGGGAGGAAGTGAGTAGAGTAAGCCATGTAAAGCATTTATCACATAGTAATTGCTTAGTGTGAATTATTTGCTAAGAGTTCTGATTAGCATAAAATGCACACCTTAAAGACAATGTTCTGCCATGATTCTAAATCTAAATAGTCTTCCTGTTTTGTCTTACACATCTTATAGTCCCACCAAGCTTCATCTTACAGGAGACCCAATGTGACCCTTTTAAAGTGGGCCTTCAAAGCACAGGTGCATTTCACTTCAAGGTTCACCTGTGTTGTGCCAGGTGTGTGGCAATAGGGCCCAGAAGTGCTACTGATCAAACAGTAGTGAGGGTTGGTAATACATGGATCATTTCCTAAGAAATTATTATAATTGGTCTTTTGTGTCAGGTGACTGATTCTGGTCAATATCAGACATTAAAGGCTGCAGGAAGACTTAGTACATTTTCGCTATTTCACAACCAAGAGAAACTCAGCACTGAACATCTCCCTGTTTTGCTCATTATTGATTATATCATGACTGAATGGAAACTGCCGAGCTATGTACCAACTCTTGTGCCAGAAATGCACTGCTCCCAGACAGGAAAAAGGAAAGCACATCTCTTTAGCTTCCCCTTTTATAGTCAAATTCTTACTGAGATATTGGGGTTGCTCTTGAGTCATCGAGTCACATTCTAAACTGTCCCTGACACAGGAGAGAAGACAGCAGAGGAGGGAGGTCCTGAAGCAATCTTAACCAGAGGAGAGGTAGTCACAGTGAAGAAGAAAGGGACATTGGGCTGGGGATGTGGCTCAAGTGGTAGCACGCTTGCCTGGCATGCGTGCGGCCCAGGTTCGATCCTCAGCACCACATACCAACAAAGATGTTGTGTCTGCCAATAACTAAAAAATAAATATTAAAAAAATTATCTCTTAAAAAAAAGAAGAAGAAGAAGAAGAAAGGGACAAGTGTAGCTCTAGGAGCTGGGGAGGTTAAAAAGCCACACCATTCTGAGCCCTATCAACAGACTAAAAAATTGAGAATCTAGCCCATAGGGGGCAGACCTGCACCAAGGACCACATCTCATTTCTCCATTGGTTTTGGTCTCTGGGGAAGGCACCCAGAACCCTTTTCTAAAACATCAGATTCATTCTGCATGGAACCTACCTGCTGTTGATAACAATAGCCTATAGTATTAGAGTTATGCTTGTCTCTGAATAAAAATAGAAATCCTCCCTAGTCTAGCCTATCTGTCTGTTTTAAGGAGAAAAGAAGAGGCATCAAATAGTTGAATATTCCCAGGAAAGTTTAGAGACCCTTTCTACCCAGAAGCACTTGTGTGGTGTTTTGGTCCCCACCTTTGAAAGAAATAGAACATTTTAACTGGTTCACCTAACAAATCAGCTCCTTAATCACTTCAAGGACTCTAAATGGATCTGAAGTTTAAAAGTGCACTAAAAGGATTCCTCACCTTTAACAAATGATTGAAAATAAGGTGACGACCTGGGCAGGGCCAAGCAAGGAAACTGCAAGGGCAAGGGGGTTTGTGCTGACGGGCTTCTTGAAACCGGGAAATCATATCTTCGTGAACTTTGAACATGATTGTTCAGCACAAATATCCCTAGAGTTCAGTGATTTGTTTTTTATTTTAAGGGTTTTTTTTATTGTAAAAAAATAAAAATAAAAACTCATTTCATATTCTACTTTGCATATAGAAATATATATTTAAAAATATAGTTATCTTCTAGTATTCCAAAAGATAAACACTGCCCATTTGATGTCCATCCTCCTGGGTCTTTGAATGGGTGCACAGACATGATAGAGGTTCTGCAGCCTGGAAAGGCCTCTTTACGACTGCTCTGTTCTCTCTTCCATGGACAGCTGCTGCTGTTCTTGCCCTGCCCCTACCACAGGGGCTGGGGACTGACAGTTGTGAATGGTATAATGAACATATTTCATTCCTTTCACTGTGTCCCTGGCCTGTATTCATGGTCTCGTTTGTGTAATATCAAAATCTAAACTTTAGATCTTGGCGAATGTTCTGACTGTGCCTCTTGCCTTCCCACCCCTTGACAACCTCTGTGCCTGGGTCCCTGCCCATCCTCCAGCCCCACAGACCAGCAGGCTGCTCCACCATCCCCCCACACCAGGTTTCCTCAAATGCTGCTCATCCCCTTTTGCTGCCCCTTGACCGCTGGCTGCCACCACCGCGTCTCTAAGGTGGGGCCTTCCTGCCCTGGGAGGATCTCAGGCGAGGGGCAGCAGCCTTTCTTAGATCACAGTCACCAGCACAGGTTGTCAACTCTGCTGAAGTCCCCAGGACGACGGAGGGAGCAGCTGTGTGAGGAAGGCACTGTGCAGGGGAGCCCCAGAGGTGCCAGTGAGGGACCAGGCAGGAAGCTTGTCAGCAGTGCACTGGGCTAACATCACCTGCTCTCTGCCAAACCTCAGTGAACGCTATCTAAACACAGGAAGGAACTGTGAATGCCCTTGAGAGATGTTTTGAGCTCCCGTCAGTGTTTCAGGTTGGTGTGTCCTGAAGATACATGTTGTGAGCCCTGCCCATATCTTGAACCTTCTGAACAGAGCTGGGATCTTAGAGCAGAGAAGACAGCATCTTCAAATAAGAGCACCAGAGCTGAACGCAATGTTAGCCCAGATCACGAGTCCTCCCTTTTCTATTTAACAGGCTCCCAGGGACATGCCTCCTGACCTGCCCAGAGTTGGGCTGAGGACCTGTTTTGAGATAAGAGGAGTCTTAGAAATTATCGAGGCCAGCCAGGGGCAGACGGGCCCCTGTACAAGAGTAGCTCTGACGCCATTCCCCTCATTCTCCAGGTCACCTCATCAGGTGTGGCGACCTTCCAGGCCAGACCTCTCCAGATGGTCCCCTAGGGTTTCCCTCTTTCCACCACTCTTGCTCAACCAAAACAAACTACTCCTGCCGGTCCATCTGAGGGACTCCCCCACTGAAATCAGATACCCCTGTGGAAAGCCCAGCTGATAAATAAATGTCCTCCCCACAGCTGTGAAGAGCTGATAATGACTCCTGGTGGTTTTACACTCTCAAAAGATAGTCTTATTTTGGAAAAGCCAATACATTCAGATGGCTCAAAATTCTAACAATATAAAAATGTTCATTCCTATGCCTGCCTAGCCTCCCTTAGGACACTTCTCATTCCAACTCTCTGCAGATAATTAATTTTGTTAGTTTCATGTGTATCTTTTCAGCGGTTTTTTTATACTCTGTAAGCAAATAGAGATAATACATAAGAGTTTTCAGAACCATAGGCCAAAAGAATCTTGCTCACCACTGGCTGCCACCACCGCGTCCCTAAGGTGGGGCCTTCCTGCCCTGGGAGGATCTCAGGCGAGGGGCAGCAGCCTTTCTAGGATCACAGTCACCAGCACAGGTTGTCAACTCTGCTGAAGTCCCCAAGACGACTGAGGGAGCAGCTGTGTACTCTGAAGATTTCATGGAGCAACAAGTCTTTCCTAGGGCCCCTTTTGTCATAACTTTGAAGTGTCTGCCTTCTTAAAATTGAAGTTCCTCACACTAAAGAAAATTGGTTCCTGTAGGGCTTTAGCCAGATCACACACACCCCCCAAAAAAAGAAAACAGTCCTGCTGCCTCATGTCCAGGTCTGAAGTAGAGCTGGAAAACCTCTGAGACCCCTTTCCTCCTTTGTGTTCATTTGTTGAATCAGGCACTGAGCCAGGTCCTGGGGACACAAATACAGTCCCTGCACTCATGGCAAAAGGAAGACAACATGGGCCAAGGTTGTCACGGAGATGATTCAATTGCAACTCACAACAAGTACAACCCAAACAGGTCTATGTTTAAGAAGGGAATTGCCTGGCCCCTATAGCTGAAATGTGCCAAGAATTGGTTTGGCCTTAGGTACAGCTTAATTCAAAGAGTACATGATGTCACTAGGAGCCATCTCTTGGCTCTGCACCCTCTGGGCTGGTTTGGTTCTTAGCTATTCATGATGGCCCAAATGACTTCAGGCTCACATCTTCACCACTTTAGACCAGTGGGAGTGAGTCAGTGATTGCAAGAACCAAACAAAAATCCCGGGATCAAGTGCCCTTAATGCTGATTGGCTTATGTAAATCACCTGTCCATTTCTGAGCCAATCACTGAAGCCAGGGTGGATAGATTGTACTGATTGGCCTAGCCTCAGTCACATGCTCCACTCTAGCACCTAGGGGTTGGGTCAACTTTACCAAAGCACATAAGATTGAGAATGG